AAAAAAAGCGACTTTACAGTCTGGAAATACTTTAGGCTATAGCAAATTATTTCGCGGAACCCCCATCACATTAAGAACCGCTGGTCCACACAGAAGAAAGCCCTCTGCCCCGGTACGAGTTGTGTCGAGCTATTCATTCGTCTGTTTGATGAAAAAATATGAAATGTATTTGCAATAAATGTGTTAAGAATCCATACAACTGCAGCAGCAGAGGCATCACATTAAGAACCGCTGGTCCACACAGAAGAAAGCCCTCTGCCCCGGTACGAGTTGTGTCGAGCTATTCATTCGTCTGTTTGATGAAAAAATATGAAATGTATTTGCAATAAATGTGTTAAGAATCCATACAACTGCAGCAGCAGAGGACTACTATTCTGCTGCTTGATACTGCAGAAGAACTGATGATGGCACGGTTTGATCTTCGGCTGACCAATCAGCAGAAAGAGGTGTTTAATTCCCGCCCACGTGTAGAAATCGAATATTCAAGCTGTTTATTCATTTTTCTACCCCTGAACGAAAAACGAAAATTTAAACTGAATTCTCGTTTTTTGGAAAAGGAGACGTTTTTTTTCTACTTTTAATATTAAATCAAAAAACGAATGATCGAATGATACACGGATTTAATATCATACTCTTCTATTCTATTGCAATGTTCTTTGGTGTGAGTTTGACAGCAGGTGCTGATGCTGCGCCTTTAAGAGGCAGTTCTCTTACTATTGGTTATTGCGATTGTTCTCTGCACCAATCACATGCAATGTTGTACAAAGAGATCTACTCCCTCCCCCACTGACATTACAACTTTCAGTTCAAGCGGAGAGGAGGGATGTTATAATCTCTCCGATAAGATGGATTCTAACATATTTTTGAGACAAAATGGACAAGCGAAATTGTCTTCTTGGTGGGATCCCTAGTTTTTATTAGAACGGTGAATAGTCTGGATATACAATCAAAATGACAAAGAGGGTGGCATTCAGATGGTGGAGGCATTATTTGCTCTTCTTTTTTCTCTTTCTTCTTTTGTGGAGTACGACAGAAGGACAGACTCACTACTCAATTCCCGAGGAATTAAACGTGGGCGCTGTTGTTGGAAATATTGCAAAAGATTTGGGTTTGAAAATATCTGAGCTGTATGACCGTAAATTACGAATAGCTTCTGAATCAGGTAAGCAGTATTTCAGCGTGGATTTACGAAGAGGAGAGATTGTGGTTAATGAGAAAATCGACAGAGAGATCCTTTGTGGAGAAAACGCAAAATGTCTGTTGCCTCTGCAAATCGTTATTGAGGATCCTTTACAACTTTACAAAGTGGAAGTCGACATACAGGATATTAATGACAATTATCCGCATTTTCAATCGATGGACCGTGTTTTAAAAATAGCAGAATCCACTGTCCCTGGCATGCGCTTTCCTTTAGAGAGCGCAGTAGACCCAGATGTAGGCAGTAACTCTTTAAAAACGTACACTTTGAGTAAAGACGAATGTTTCAGTTTAAAGATAAAAGATCTTGGAGATGGGCGAAAGGTACCTGAATTAGTCCTGGAGAAACCTCTGGACCGCGAGAAGAAACCGATTCATCAGCTGATGTTAACTGCCTTAGACGGAGGAAACCCGGTTAGATCAGGAACGTCTCAAATTAATGTCACTGTGCTGGATAACAATGACAACAACCCCGTATTTGAGAAAAATGTTTACAAAGCGGCTATTTCTGAAAACACAAAAAAGGGCACGACGATTATTAAAGTTGAAGCAAAAGACTTGGACGAAGGTCCTAATGGAAAGATAAAATATTCTTTAGGAGAGCACACTTCTGATGCTTTGCGCTCGTTATTTCACATTGATGAGAATACCGGGGAAATTATTCTAAACGGAGAGTTGGACTATGAAACCACTCCTATGTACAACATTGAGATTAAAGCCAGAGACAGAGGTGTCCCCGAAATGGAGGGCCATTGCACAGTTAAAATAGAAGTATCGGATATTAACGACAATCCACCGCAGATACTGCTTACGTCTAAACCGAGCCCTGTGCGAGAGGACGCGCCTAGCGGGACAGTTGTAGCGTTAATAAGCGCACGGGACATCGACTCTGGTGACAATGGAAATGTCAGTCTGCAGACACAGTCTGACCTTCCGTTTCTTTTAAAACCATCTTTCTCAAACGAATATTCGTTGGTGACAAACGGTGTTTTAGACCGCGAAACGTTCTCTGAGTATAACGTGGAAATCACTGCATTTGACTTAGGCTCGCCCCGTTTAAGTAGCAAAACAATAATTCCAGTTAAAATTCTTGATGTTAACGACAATGCCCCAAAGTTTTCTGAAAACGTGTATTATGTGTACGTAAAAGAAAATAACACTCCAGGCTATATTATCTGTTCAGTATCTGCTCAAGACGTTGATGTCGGCGTAAATGGTAAAATATCATACTCTATTGAGAACCCTAAAAATTGGGATACTCCAATATCCTCGTATATGTACATAAACGCTGACAATGGAAGCATATTTAGCATGCATTCGTTTGACTTCGAAAAAATAAAAGTGTTTGAGGTCATCGTTCAGGCTAAAGATCATGGTTCTCCATCTTTAAGTAGTAACGCGACAGTTCATGTGTTTATTTTGGACCATAACGACAATGCACCTGCTGTCATTTACCCGTCCACATCCATGGGGTCTGTCTCTCATCAGAGGATGCCCCGTTCTGCTAAAGCAGGACATCTCGTTACTAAGGTAACAGCAGTGGACGCGGACTCGGGTCATAACGCCTGGCTGTTCTACAGGCTCGCGGAGGCCACGGACGCGTCTCTGTTTAGTGTCAATTTACATACGGGAGAGGTGAGGACTAAACGCGCTGTTTCAGAGCACGACGACTCCTCTCAGAGACTGCTGATAGAAATAAAGGATAATGGAGAACCGATCCAGTCCGCCACAGTCACAGTGGATATACTGATGGAGGACGGCTTTCATGAGCCCATCTCAGACTATAGAGAGAAAACTATCGAGCCCAACAAGAAAACTGGCAAAATAACATTATATCTGATCATCTCTTTGGCTTCTGTGTCCTTGTTGTGTCTATTGACGTTTTTCATCTTACTGGTGAAATGTGCGCGAGGCAGTATAAGCTGCTGTATCAGGAGGACAAACTCTGAATACAAGAACCCCAACAGAAACCTGCAGATCCAGCTCAACACTGACGGGCCCATTAAGTATGTGGAGGTTCTGGGAGGAGACATGATGTCTCAGAGTCAGTCCTTTGGCTCCTATCTCTCTCCAATGTCAGAATTCAGTGATCTCACCCTCGTTAAACCCAGCAGCACCACAAACTTTACAGACACACTAAACGTGCTTGACGCGTCATTACCAGACAGCGCGTGGACGTTCGAGAGCCAACAGGTGAGACAAACTCAGAATTAAACCAGTAATATTTATACATTCTACATTATTTATAAGTAACTGAGAGAGTGACGCTACTATCAGAACCTTGGACAGCTCCGTGTGCGCTTTTGTCTAAGCGAAGTAACTTTCCTCCAATAGAAACGCATGTTTTTATCCCCACCCCTTTTAACTCTTCTCCTAGACCCGCACAGGCTTGTTGCTCTTAAGAGCTGTATTGTTAGTTTAGAAACTTAGAACAAATGGTGGAGATCATGGATACAAAACAAAGCGTGTTTCTCATATACTTAACAACGTCTCGTCGGGTCTAATATATGCATGAATTAAAACCCCGAAGGAGTCTCTATCTACTAGTGAATATGGAGAGTAAAGAGCTTTTTCAGAGACCTTTGGACTGGGCTGCAGTTTGGATTGTTCTTAATTCCTTGTGTTTTGCAACGCACGCTTCGGAACTTTTATATTCTACAGCTGAGGAATCTAAACCAGGAACAATTGTTGGTCACTTGACCAAAGATTTAGGAATGGACGTTCATATAATATTTATAAGAGATATGCGAATCATATCGGAATCTAATGCTAAGTATTTTGACGTAGACCTGACATCTGGAGCTTTGGTGGTCAAGCAAACAATGGACAGAGAGAGTATGTGCGGAGGAAGTTTCCATTGTTACACTCGGATTCAGATTTCTCTTCAAAATCCGTTGGAAATGCACAGCGTTACGGTAGAAATTGTGGATGTTAACGACAACGCGCCACACTTCCAAACACGAAACACTTCTTTTGAAATTTCAGAAGCGGCTGCGCCAGGCACGACATTCCGCTTAGAAAATGCGCACGACCCTGACGTGGGTGTAAATTCACTGCGTTCTTATTTTCTTAGTCAAAACGATTGTTTTATGCTAAAAGTAGAAACTAAAAGCGACGGAAGCAAAATCCCGATTTTAGTCTTGAACAAGCCTCTAGACAGAGAAAAGACGAGCGAATTTAGACTGATTTTAACTGCAGTTGATGGTGGCAGTCCAGAAAAGTCCGGCAACAGTGCCATTTTTATAAATGTTCTAGATGTCAATGACAACGCGCCACACTTTCATAATCCTACAAAAAGAATCACGCTTTTAGAAAATTCACCTCACAGAACGTTAGTTACAATTCTTAATGCCTCTGATGCCGATCATGGTCAAAATGGTGAAATAACTTATACGTTTAATAAATACACCCCTGACAATGTGTTCAAACTCTTTAGCGTGGGTTCTATGACTGGTGAAATTAGAGTTACAGGACTAGTCGATCACGAGCTCGCTAATATATATGACATCACTGTTCTTGCTAGAGACAAAGGAATACCTCCCATGGAAGGCTCGTGCAACATCAAAATCGAGATTATTGACGTGAATGACAACACCCCTGCCATCAGCATTAATGTGGTTTCTCCTGTAATCTCTGAAAATGTGAGTTCAGGAACTGTCATTGCCCTAATCAAAGTTAAAGATGAAGACACAGGGAAAAATGGCGATGTGAGCGTGCACATCCTTTATGGGTTGCCTTTCAAGATGAGTTCGCCATATAAAGGGCTTTTCACTTTAATGACCGATGGCCTGCTGGACAGAGAGGCCGTGGCTGAATACACCATTGCTGTGACTGCCACAGACTCTGGTTCCCCACCCCGTTCCTCGCAGGAATCTTTTGTGCTACGTCTTTCAGATGTTAATGATAACCCCCCAGTCTTTTCACAGCCTTCCTACTCTGTGGACATAGACGAAAACAATGCCCCAAATGCTCCCCTTCTGTCCGTGTCTGCCTCAGACCCAGATGTGGGTGAGAATTCCACTGTTTATTTCTCAATTTTAGAGAGTGAAGCTCTTGGTAGGTCTGTGTCTTCATATGTATATATAAACCCAGATAGTGGGCAGATATATGCCATGAGAAAGTTTGATTATGAGCAATTGAATGCTTTTCAATTCATAGTGCAGGTTCTTGATAGAGGAACTCCAGCTCAAAGCTGCAACACTATAGTGCATGTGTTTATTATAGATCAGAATGATCATCCTCCTGTCCTTATATACCCTGCACCCCCATCTGATGGGACGCTGCAGTTTTTGGTACCTAGCACAGCCGGCATCGGACACCTAGTGAATCGCATCACATTTGTGGATGGCGATAGTGGCCACAATGCTTGGTTACTCTACAGCTTCTCGGGGCTTGATGCTGAAATGTTTCATATAGGTGCACATACTGGGGAGCTGCGTACAGCCCGTAGACTTACAGAAGAAGACAGCAAGTCTGTTTTTAGCTTCACTGTGATTGTAAAAGATAATGGCAGGCCTTCTCTCACCGCTAGCGTGGTAGTTAACATCACCCTGGCTGAGAAAGCTTCAGATGTCTCTTCTGAAGGTAGAAGCTCTACCTCAAAAAGTCCAAAAGGGTCTGACCTCACTTTGTACCTTATAATCACATTATCCTTCATTATTACAGTCTCATTCCTGGTTAGCATTTTTGTAGTGGTGCGCTGGCTAAGCCACCATGGTTACGTTATGTGCCTCATGCAAAAACTCGGTTTCAAGCACACACCTCGTGAGCACCAACACAATGACCTCCACCTGCAGCTAAATACTGATGGTCCTACTAGATACATGGAGGTCGTGGGGGCCTCCCGGGATTTCAACAAACATACATACACGCATGGTTTCTCCACTATCTCCAGCAGGAGCGACTTTGTGTTTGTTAAGGCCCCACAGAGCACTCTAGGCATGCAACTGTCAAAAAGACTCTTCACTCACTCACTCATGAAGGTGAGATTTTCAGGAAATATTATAGACTACTTTTTAAAAGTTTGAGGTCAGTAAGATTTCTTTAATGTTAGATGAGAAAGAAGTCTTCTGTGCCCAGCAAGGCTTTTTTTTAAATCTAAAATACATTAAAATGGCAATACGGTGAAATATTATTATTATTTAAAGTAACCGTTTTGTATTTTATATATTTTACAATGTAATGTATTCATGTGATGGCAGCCATTACTCCAGTCTTCAGTGTCACATGATCATTTAGAAATAATTTGAATATGCTGATTTGGTGCTAAAGATACATTTCTTTTTACCAATGTTGAAAGCAGTTGAACTGCTTAATATTTTTGTGGAAACTGAATAGAAGGTTCGAAAGAACAACAAATGTGTGAAATATAAATGTTTTGTACAATTACAAATGTCTTTATTGTCACTATTGTCAAATGTAATGCTTCCCTGCTGAACATAAGTATTAATTTCTTTCAAAAATTCTTACTGACGCCAAACGTTTGATGGGTAGTGTAAGCAGTTACTGTCCTTAAGTAAAAAATGTTTGCATCTGTTAATGAAACAAATTATACACGGTTCAAATATTTGTGGTATGAATTTTACTGTCACCATTTCTCAAAATAATTTTTAGTTAGATGGAAATCATGCTGTGTATGTCATTAATTCAGACTAAGGCTCTATAGTCACTATGACTGACTTTTTGGACTAAGCACTCTATAATGCCAAGTGTATTAAGAATCAGCCCGCAATCTGAGCTATTTCTAGACCCAATGACTCAGCAGAGAATTTAACTGTATAAATCTGAGAAGAATTATGACTGAAAATATTGTGTTCAAATGCTCAAGTCAGGTGAGGCAGATTGTTACAGTCATTATGATTTACAAAGTAGAAGCAGTTGGATGCCGTTGTATGCATACAGTTCAGAATAGAAGACAGTCTTTGTGGAATCTATAATAGAGTTTGTAGGATCATAGTGTGATATTGCACATGCTTTGAATGCTGTCTTGCAACACAATGACTCAACTGAGTGTGGGGAGATGCAATAGAATTGTGTGGGATACTAAAGGAAATATGACAAAATGATGAAAAAATCCAAAATGGGTTGACATTTTAGCCATAATCCTCTTACAGGTGAGCTCATATTTTGTTTGCTACAGACCCGAGTTTACTCCTCATGTAAACGCACTCATACGTGACAGCAACATGATTGAAGTTTCAATTATTCACACACACTCTCCCTTAACCTATTTTCTACTTTATGTTCTTCTTTGTTGCTCTGCTTCTCACTACTCCCCTCAACTTATTTTTTCTGTATCAGCAAAGGTGAAGTTTCAGAAAACAGTCCTGAGCAAAAGCAGAGGAAGTGCACCAAATTGTACTCTGCTGTCAATAATTCAAATTTGTGTTTCAGAACTACAACCTTCTATGACAGGATGGAAGGACTTGTGATCCACGATGGACCAATAGTGAATATGATTCTCTATACCAAACAAAAGTATTGACAAAACTCTTTTCTTCTTATTTTCAGCAAAAGCCGCCTAATGCTGACTGGCGATTTCCCCCAAACCAGAGGCCTGGACCTAGCGGGTGAGTGTTGGATTCAGTTTATGTGTCTAGCAAAACCTATAAATACATTTGAGATTGTCCACGTGGTATTACGTACACTGTTTTGTAATAATTTTCATTTAATCTCTCTGATTGGAATGAGATAATAAAAGAACAAAATCTGGGATTACCTGTCAACAATTGAGTGCCTACATTTTTGGTGGCCACTATATTAAGAATTTAGTCAGCAAGAAGAGTTGAGTAATACCAAAACTATCTAAAAATGAACAAATAATAATAATAAACTTAATTTTCTATAGCGCTTTTAAAAGGTACATCTCAATACGCTTTACACAGATAAAAAGGGATAAAATAAAAATAATAGCAATAATAATAATAATAATAACAATAAACACCATGCATATGACACAAAGAAATCACTTAAAAGCTATTCTGAAAAAGTGGGTTTTAAGAGCAGATTTGAAAACACTAAAAGCCTTAGCCTGTCTGATCTCAATGGGAAGAGAATTCCAGAGTTTTGGTGCACAAGAAGAAAAGGCCCGATCACCCATAGAGCGTAAACGAGTACGGGGACCACTAAAAGACCAGAATCAGAGGAGCGGAGATCACGACTTGGAATATAACCAGTTAACAGTTGTGAAAAAATGTGGCGCCAAACCATGCAAAGCCTTGTAGGTCAGCATGAGAATTTTAAAATCAATCCGAAACCTGACAGGGAGCAAGTGCAATGACTCTAAAACTGGAGAGATGTGCTCGTTTGTCCTGGTCCTTGTCAGGATTCTAGCAGCAGAATTTTGAACAGACTGCAGCTCACTTAAGGTGGTTTTAGAAACCCCAGCAAGTAAAACCTTACAGCAATAGATACGAGAAAAAACAGAAGTATTAATCCATTTTTCAGCAACTGACAGGAATAACATGGGGTGGAGTCTTGCAAATACCAAAATATCTTAGATTAGAAAATGCAGTAATTTAGTAATGTTCCTTCCTTCAGTGTTAGGTGTTAACTTCAGGTGTGAGATTACCTGTAAATATTTGAGTGCCTAAATTTTTGATGGTCACTGTCTATTTAATCAGCAAGAACAGTTAAGGAAACAATATTTATAGATAAAATCAACAAATACCAAATTATCTAGAACAGAGTCTGAAATAATTGACAAATTTTCCTTCCTTAAGTGTTTTCATCTCTATATTTAACCCATTATCGCCATTTTATGAATATTAAAAATGTCAATGACAATTTACTATAATCGCGCAAAAATAAACCCTGTAAAGAAATTCTGCCAAAGAAATAAAGTCCTGCAAAAATAAAATCCTACTAAACAAATCCTGTGAAGAATATCCTGCAAAAGAAATCATATGGGGAAAAAACCCTGCAAATACACCAAATATATTTACATTTACATTTAGTCCTTTAGCAGATGCTTTTATTCAAAGCGACTTACAAATGAGGACAATGGAATCAATCAAAATCAACAAAAGAGTAATGATATACAAGTGCTATAACAAGTCTCAGTTAGCTTAACACAGTACACGTAGCAAGGTTTTTTTAAATAATATAATAAATAAAAAGAAAACAGATAGAAATAATGTGAAATAGTGTTAGAGGTCTTTTTTGCTTTTGTTAATTGTATAATAAATGAAAAGAAAACAGATAGAATACAAAAAGATTAGAAAGCAAGTGTTAGTTATTTTAGTTTTTTTAAGAAAGCAAGCAGCAAATGAATAGAGTGCAAGTCTAAAAGGGACAAGTTTTTTTTTTTAAGAATAGAATTAGAATAGAGAGTGCTAGAGTTAGAGGGTCAAATAAAGATGGAAGAGATGTGTTTTTAGCCGATTCTTGAAGATGGCTAAGGACTCAGCTGCTCGGATTGAGTTGGGCAGGTCATTCCACCAGGAGGGAACATTTAATTTAAAAGTCATAAAAAATATATTATGACAGCAATCATCAGATAAAAACGCAAACCGACTTCCTGTGAGACACAGCGTCTTAAGAGTATGTAAGGTTTAAAGGTAAAGGAAACCCAAAGACGTTCTCACCCATCCATGTGCTCTGGTCAGACGCAGGGTGATTGAGTGACAGCTGCATGCTCCTGTGCTTATGTTTCAGCCAACACAGGTTCCACACCCTGCAGCAGAGATGGACTCCATACGAGAAGTCCAGGTAGAGTGAAGGCGAAGAGAAGGCTAGTGTGTGGTAGCATTTGACTTCACCTGGTGTAGCCTTCTAGTGGAATGTCGTGTTTAGGTCTTTCAGATTATGTGTCCTGCAGCTTCCAGCGACATGATGTCCAGTCTGTTCCTACACATATAAATGTACACACAAATTACATGCAGTTGGTTCATTTGAGGATAAGGCTTTTGGATGTATGTGTATCGCTGATAGCTGTTTGTTGCATCTTGCTCTGCGAGTTGTCATTGCAGTGTGTTTACCTGTGCTTAGTAAACTTGTTTGTTCCGAGTTGATTTATTTTGGCTTTGTAGAGCCAAGTCTGTGAAGTCTGTCCCTAAAGAGTAGATAAATAGTTCTGTCCTTATGTATGGACTCTGCTATCAATCTGTTTGTGTGGGCAGAGAAAGAGAGTAAAAATCTGCTTTTTAGTCATGCCATTTTGAAACTGAGCAGCCTGTAATAACCCAAATATACTTAAAGTGATAGTTCACCCCAAAAAAAGAAATATTCTGTCATCATTAACCCATCCTTGTGTCATTCCAAACCTGTATGACTTTGTCCTGTCTTCTTTGCATTTCACAGATTTATTTGAATACAAAACAATAAAAATAAAATAAAAATCCAACACACTACTCAAACTTGCATCGGTTACACTTTACTTGAAGGGGTGTGCATAAGACTGACATGACACCGTCATAATCATGACATGACACCTACATAATCATGACATGACACATGTAAATAATGTCATATTTGCATTAAAAATGACATAACTGAGCGAATGACACTTAATGACAGTTGTCATAAACATGCATAAAACCTCCTTCATATTCATGACATGTGTCATGTCATGATTATGAAGGTGTCATGTCAGTCTTATGCACACCCCTTCAAGTAAAGTGTTACCCTTGCATCTTTGGCAAATAAATTTTAGCATTTATGAAACTAAATCTGTGAAATGACAAAAATGTCTACCCAAATGAAAAACACATTAAAAGACTTTAATGTAAGGGCATCATGCACATTACCATAATAAACTCATGTTCCTTTGTCCATTTAGCTTATCAGATTATCTTTTTTTTATTATTACTTTTTATTTATTTTTTGACAGCTGTAATTTGAACGGACAGTACTCAAAATAACAGAGTAGACAAAATCTTGTGGGACAAACTAGAAAACTTTATTATAATTGTTTAATTAAATAATAATAAATCTACTCTGTAAATACTCATGTTTAATGAGTTATTTTTACATTTGCTGATATGTCTGCATGTTTTATAAGCCTGAGGAACATCAATTGACCGAAACGTTGCTAAGCTAATAAAATTCGCAAGGATGCAAGTTTGAGTACTGTGCAGGTGTTTTTTAATTTTAATTTTTCAGTCTATACTAGACTGCTGATGCATCTGCATATGAATTGGGTGTGCGAGGCACTATATTTTCTATTTAGCATTTTACAGATGAAAAAGAAAGTTTATACAGGTTTGAAATAACATGAGGGTGAGTAAATGAAAAAAGGGTGAACTATCTCTTTAAATAATGCTTATTGTGACTTGATTAAAGGGCAAAGTGTATTTGTTGTCAAGCCACATGGTATAAACAGACACAACTGTATTCTGATCAATGCATCTGCCTGTTTACTTCATGTCTACCACTGCTTCTTCGATTTTAGCCTCCATTTTCTGACTGCACTGTCCTGCCCTGTCACACAAAATGGCTGTCTCAGCTAATGAACCGGGTACATTTATGCTAGCAAACGTGGTGGCTGCTGTTCTCATATGTGTGAGAGGAAAAATGCGAGAAAAAAGCACCATGAATGTGTTTGAGTGTCTAACCCTGTTCTCTGTCATGTAGGGCTGGAGCTCGTCCTGATGAGGCAGGTGCCAGCGCTGGTGTGATCGCAGGAACAGGACCATGGCCCAACCCCCCTACCGAAGCTGAACAGCTCCAGGCTCTGATGGCAGCAGCGAACGGTGAATCTCAATCTCACTTATTATTCCCTCTTTTTTAAAAGGAGAGAAAATAAGAGAATGAGGAGAAAGCATTAGCACAGACTTGAACCAGAAATAAAAGCATAGCCAACAAGATAAACATTTTGCTTATAAAGTGAAAATTTTCTCTGCCAGAGATATCCTTCAGGCTGATCAGCTTTACAAGCTAAATTTTCATGATAATCTTGCTGGTTAAACTAATTAAGGAACCCATTGGGGGCAAATCAGCCCACCGGCATCCAAAACACAGCATATGCTGGTCTTTACAGCAGGGAAGTCTGACCACATATATGTGACCCTGGACCACAAAACCAGCCATAAGGGTCAATTGAATAAATAAGTGTTCCATTGATGTATGGGTTGTTAGGATAGGACAATATTTGGCTGAGATACAACTATTTGAAAATCTGGAATCTGAGGGTGCAAAAAAATGTAAATAATCACCTTTGAAGTTGTCCAAATTAAGTTCTTAGCTATGCATATTACTAATCAAAAATTAAGTTTTAATATATTTACAGTAGGACATTTACAAAATATCTTACAATATTTTGACTCATACAATGTATTTTTGGCAATTGCTACAAATATACCCCAGCGACTTAAAGAGCAGGTCATATGTTTTTTTTTAAAGTGTGCTCATATTGTGTTGGAGTCCCCAACAACAGGTTTAAATGCATCTAAGGTCAGAAAACACTGTAATTTTCCCATAATATACATTTATACATAGAGTCATTTGTCCATGATTTCGAAACGGTTCATTCGCTTCAGTTATGAGCGAAATGTCTGTAAACTGCCATAAGCCTACTCTGCTCTGATTGGTCAGCTGGCCAAGCCTGTTGTGATTGGCACAAAGAGGAGCGCTTGAGCAAGTTAGGGAGCGATCACCTTTGAAGTTGTCCAAATTAAGTTCTTAGCTATGCATATTACTAATCAAAAATTAAGTTTTAATATATTTACAGTAGGACATTTACAAAATATCTTTCTATCTATTTTGACTCATACAATGTATTTTTGGCAATTGCTACAAATATACCCCAGCGACTTAAAGAGCAGGTCATATGTTTTTTTTTAAAGTGTGCTCATATTGTGTTGGAGTCCCCAACAACAGGTTTAAATGCATCTAAGGTCAGAAAACACTGTAATTTTCCCATAATATACATTTATACATAGAGTCATTTGTCCATGATTTCGAAACGGTTCATTCGCTTCAGTTATGAGCGAAATGTCTGTAAACTGCCATAAGCCTACTCTGCTCTGATTGGTCAGCTGGCCAAGCCTGTTGTGATTGGCACAAAGAGGAGCGCTTGAGCAAGTTAGGGAGCGCTACCATCTATGTTGCCAAGTCCGCGGTTGTTTTTGCTAGCTGCACTAGGTATACATCACATATTAGCACAAAAAAAAACTAGATATTTTGAGCACTCAGTTGAAAATGTACACATAACTTATCAATCGTACTTACAGGTTGTGGTTCGGAGACGCTTGTTGGTCCAAATAAAGAAGATTAGAAGCCGACGAAGATAAAAGGCAAGATTAGAGAAGCAGTCCTCTGTAAAATGACAAGCACAACAAAAGGTTCGAATTGTATTGCTGTGGTATTGTGGAACACAGCATCTTCTCGACACAGAGAGTGTTCGTATTTCGTGGGCAGGCGGGGATTATGCTAATGTGTGACCCAGTGACGTAGATCGGTAACAGGCAGAAGATTCGAAAATATAACGACTCGTTAAGGCGATTCTGAGTCGACTCTTTCTTTTGAGTGACAATATCTTTATTTATCATGCACTTTTTTGATTAACAACTTTGCAGACTGTTTACATTGAAGGATAGCTATCTTACAAACTGCAAAAGAGATCTTTTTCGAAAAACCCATATGACCTGCTCTTTAAGACTGGTTTTGTGGTCCAGGGTCACATATTGTATTGGATGCATCAGTACTCGAGGACAGATTATGAAGACCGGTAATAACTGGATGATGTAAGGAAAGAGGGGGATGGAGTGAGAGAAGAAAGTGAAGAGAGAGTGGCTTCCAGAGTAAAATGGATCTCACCATTTATTGACTGTTAGAGAGTCAAATTAATTGAGTGTAAAGAGACAAAGGAGCCTTTTGCCTCTCCGCAGCTGCAGTCTGAATGACAGCACTGTGCTGATGTTGTTCTCTAGCCTAGATGACAGTCGTCTTTCTAAGAAACAGAATCTCAAGAGTGTTATCTACAGTATTTTAATAATACTGTAATAATAATCACGTTATATGCATTTGTTCGTTCAAATTTCACTAGGCTGGTGTGATTTATATGTATATATAAAGGTATATTTAATAACGCAATACACATAATTAGATTTTAA